GTGGCAGCATATGATATGAGAATAACAAAGAGAAAGCCTCGCAAACAAGATAGAGGTCTTCCATACTTGACAGCATTTCATCAGGTAGAGGAAATATTTATCTAAGCAATGAGTCTGCCAATGTACAGGGGGTAGGAAGGAGAAAATAAAGAATTTAAGGAAAAATTTCTAGGACCTGGAATGAGACACTTTCAGAGAAAGTTCTCTCTGTAAGAAGCTGAACAATGAATCCACTTGTTTTATCTTTAGAGGCGTGCAGATGGATGTTATTTTGAGGTACACACGTGTGGGGGTAAAAGTGACCCACTGCCTTGTGTATGTTTGAATCTGAACACATAGGGTAGGAAGAAATTAATTTTTACTGTAGGGAATATGAGGGAAACCCCCCAGGGCTTCACTTAGTTCTCCGGTTGCACATACTTCCATGTACGTGACACCAAATTACTTGGATCGACAGATTCCTTAGATTTAAACTAGAACAACCCATAAGGAAATGTGTTAAATTGGAATAGATTCCAGTCTTTGAATGGAAAAATGACTAGTAAAAATGCAAATCACAATGAACCTGCCAAAGCTGACACTCTTTATTGAGTCCTGTGATCAAAAATAAATAAATAAATAAAAAGAACACCTAGTAGTCTGTCCCAGGTTTTAGAATGAAATTTAAAATCCAACACTGAATGTTGCAGCTGGTGTCAGAAAGCTGGGGAGATGCTCTTCCCTTGCATGCGCGCTTTCTCAGCAGGCATTTCTACCTGAAGCCAACAGGTCCTCTTCTGACCTCGGAACCTTAGATCCCACCCCCCTCCTCTATGACATTGTTTTAGGAACAATTCCATATTCCTTTTCCCCCCAACCACACATATTAGCTTAGTCTCGAGAATGTTGAGTTGTCTGTCAGTAAACAGAGTTGACTGTGGATAAGACAGATTTCTTCAGTCTACAAACTCAGATTCTGTCAGTGAACCAGTACAACTCCAAGCATCTTTCCCAGGCAGCACGTTGGCCGGGCAGTGTCCACTTCGAGACTGGTGCCCCCAAGCAAAAGCTCTTTACCTGAGCTGCAGGCCCTTATCCTGAAATCAGGACTTGAAGAAAGAGTAGTGGGTAGGCAGCAGGAACATGAGGCTTTGGAAGAGCCTCCGGCTCATACCCCAGAGAAGCGGTGGGGGGCGGCTGGAGGAGAGGCGTGGCTGCTCAGCCTGCAGTCCTGGCATATGCTGCTGCCGCTCGAAAGTGAGTCCTGAATAGGAGAAGCCAGCACACAGTGCTTCCTGGGGGCCAGCGTTTAAGGACTTGGTCTGGACAGGAAACATCTGACAAGATTCAGAACCGAGATGATTCTTAGATGGTTTGTGATGAGTCCCAGTGAGGCTGCCTTACCTGTGAACACCTGTGTCTTCACTGGTGTCTGTTGTTCGTGCTGTGTTATCCACTGTTGGGGTGAGGAGAGGTTCCCTACAGCCCTAGAGCCTACCTTGGCTTCAGTTTCCAGGCAGACATCCTGCCACTGAGGGCGGTGAGGAGATAAAGAGCGGGAACTTATATTGGGGTTTAGCTTCCAAGCAGCACCTGCCCTGGAGCAGCCCCAAAGAGCAGTTCTCACTGATTGGTCCCAGAGATCACACCTTCCCCGTCTGACAAAGAAAGCCGGCCTTTCTGCAAACCCACCACCTCCCAGCCCGCTTTCTACACAAAGATTCCACTTCACGGGCATCACTGAAACACCTGGAACATTTAAATGAAGATTCTTTATTTTCAAATATAAGTCACATTTGCCTGTTTTATCATTAATGCCACCCATTTAGGGCTGTTTTGCCAGCCTCTGGGTGGGCTAAACTTGACAGCACATAGATAGTCAGGATTTCATAGTACTATTCATATACTAAGATGACTAATTACATGTATCAAATTAGCATGTACTCTTTAAATATCCTATAATTTTATTGGTCAATTATACCTTAATAAAGCTGGAAACAGTTTAATTAAGAAGAGGGTCATAAAGGACACAAATAAGTGTAATTAAGAAACAAATGAACAAAGCAGTCTGAATGAATGGAGATGTACCAAAATGATAAAAGTGACTGGGTTAGGCTGGTGTCATTGTTTGCTAAATGTTTTATAAATACAACTTGTATTTCTTTCCTAGAAAATTTGGGTTTATTTATTTATGCTACAAGAACTGGGGTACAGGCCAGAGGTACTGTGGGCTGTGAAAGATTCACCAGAGACAGAGTGGGAAGCAGAAGAGGCGGATCTACTGAAACACATCTGAGGGAAGCAGTAGGCGACCCAGGAGAGGTCTGCTTGTGGTATGTGGGATCGAACTCATGCTATAGATAGATAGCTTCATAGTGCTAAAATTTTGTACCACCAGGGAAGCCCTATTTACTGCATTTTAAAATGCTAGTTACAATCCATTGCACTGACTTCATGACCCACAAACACTAAAAGATCACAACCTGGTGTGAAAAGTTAAACTAGTCATCTTATTTTCATAGTGCTGCGCTTTAACCCTTGTGCCACCAGGAAGGCCCCTGAGTTTATTATATTTTTAAATCATAGGGTAATTTTTTAGTTATAAATATTCTATGAAATACTTTTATCATTTACTATCATTTTAGTAATAACTCTATTGTTTTTATGAAACTAAATATTAACCTTTAGAGTAAAGATGTTTCCCGGAAACCTAATACATTTTAAATGTACCTGTCCCCTAGGAATCTGACCTAAAAAACGCCTTTATACTCTTATTTGTACTGGATATTCATGCACATGGAGATAGCTTCAAAAACTAGCAAAGGGGGCCGGCCCTTTCTGGTGGCACAAGTGCAGCACTATGAAACTATCTGCAGCACAGAGTTGCATTCCAGGCCACGGAGCTACCCACATGGCACTGGCACAGCAGACCTCTCCTGACCTGCCCACTACTCCCCTCAGCAGTGTTGACTTCCTCTACCTGCCTATTCTGCTCCCCACTCTGGCTCTGGTGACTCTTCTCACGGCCCCTGCCCCTCCAGCCTACACCCCTAGTTCTGCATAAATAAATAAATATTTAAAAAAAAAACTAGCAAAGGAACAGGTGAAAACTAAGAAAAAAAAAATTTAGAAATGACTGCACATTAAATCCACTGGAGGAGAGAGAGAGGAAGTTGCTGAGCGGTTGCTGCCGGGCCCAGCATTTGCGGGCGCCACCTGGTGGCTGTGCCCATGAACACTTCCTCTCTGAGGGTGTGGGAGCAAGCGCAGGTTTGAGGCCAGTTCTTTGCCTCCTGAAACTGGAGCAACACTACTGTCGGCACGCAGGTGCCTAGGAGATGCACAGATCAGAGTTTGCCTCATAAGCATCAAATAGGCAACACATAAAAGGGGAAAAAGTCTGTGGAATCTGAAATGAAAAATTCAAAATGGAAAGACAGCAGTGTTAAAATCCTAGACCTTGAACTGTTTCCACATCAGCATCCTTTTTATACATCTCATTAAAATAAATCTCGCCATTTACAACTCATTTGCCATACTTAAAAAAAATATGTGTCTGATCTGTGTCGTGTATACTCTGATTATGCTCTTGGGAAAGCAGATAGTCTAAGAGAAAGCATTCTGAAAATACTGGATGGTGCCACTCCTGGCAGGAATGTAAGGGATCAGGAAAAAAGAAAGTAAGTGTCATAAAATAAAAACGACAATCAACAAACAACTATAAACCAGAGGCATTCTGTGGGAGTGGAGAGGGGAACAGGATCAAAACTGGAGTGGTAAGAGCTCACGGGAGCTCTTGAAGAACGATGTGTGTGTGTGTGTGTGTGTGTGTGTGTGTGTGTGTGTGTGTGTGTAATTAAAAGAGAAAGAGAGAAAGCACTCTGGTTTGTTGGAGGTATAAATACTGACAGAAATCCAGCCTGCTGTTTGCCAGCCCTGTTTTTCATTCTAAATCACTTAATCTTTTTGAGCTCAATTTCCTCACTCTTCAAATGGGGATAATCATACCTTCTCTACTAGGTCATAGTAAGGACTAAGTTGTAATATAACTCTTTACTTACAGTACAGTATAGCTTAACACATTCCCGTTCTTTTTATCATAAAGATCTTTTTTGAGTCAGGACAGGTTAAAACAAATTAATTTGGGTCCCTCCCTGGTGGCACAGCAGGTTAAAGCACAGCACTAAGAAGCTAAAGCCACGTCAGCATGAGTTCAATCCCCGCCCCGAGGTGATCCACATGGCACTGGCATAGACCTCGCCTGATCCACCTGTTGCTCCCCTCAGCAGTGTACTTCATCAGTCGGCCTGTTCTGCTCCGCACTCCGTCTCTGGTCACCGTCCCTGCACCTCTGGCCTGTACCCAAGTTCTATATGCATAAAAAAATAATTTTTTTTAAATTAATTCAGTTTACAACTCTGGAATGCAGTATTTTTCCATGTTAGCATCTCTGAAACCAGCATATATCAATGACATGCTAGTGCTTTATCTTTCTTCGTAGTTACAGAAAAATAACGTATTCCTTTCATTCACTGGTAATTTAAATGAATGTGAGTATCAGGTCAGCAGTGTTTTAAGCACTCTTGGGCTGTGTCTCTGTGAAACCTGAATAGATTAGATGAGGTCTGGTGATGACAGCTTCCCGGCTGCCTTGTTCCAGCTCAGGCTTCAGAGCTATTCTTTCTGGGAAGTTTATTTGGAAACTGCTGACGCTGAACCTTTTTAAACTCCCTGTGATTACACAGACTGCCATTTAAAATTCAGCAGCCTGTGGCCTCTACTACCACACTATGTATATGACATTATGATGCTGAGTTGTTTTGAAGAGGGTATGGTGGAAGATGGCTATAATCGTAAAAGAACTGGTTGGTGCTTTCTCTGCTGTGCAGACTGCCACTTCCCCTCACTGGCTGTCTGAGAACTGACTGGCATGTTGCAGAGAAAGCACCTGGCCAGCACTAACTGGTCTTATCCTCATTGCCTTGCCAGTGGTTCCTACTCTTTATCTCTCTGTCTTTCAGTCCAATAAGGTTCCTGTTGTTCAGCACCCACACCACATGCACCCCTTGACGCCCCTCATCACCTACAGCAACGACCACTTCTCTCCTGGCTCCCCTCCCACACACCTCTCCCCAGAGATTGATCCAAAGACAGGTGAGTCCCGGTCGCTCAGGCCGGACCCAATGCAGGGGCAGGGGTGGGAGATGGCTTTTCCCAAGGATCCAGCCAGCTCTGGAATCAGGCAGTCCAGTCTTCTAAGTCCAACTATAAAGCAGAAAGCTGTCTTGGTTTTTTTCCTGTCAACTTGCCCACCAAACCTGTCACCCTGGGGAGCTGTCGTCCATAAAATTTTCCAAGCTGTCATGCCTCAGAGCATTCTGGGGACCTTCTTTAGTGAAATCACAGTCACTAGGTGTTACAGTTAATAGGGAGGACAAGTAAGAGCTACAAAGCTGGAGTGGATCTCTGCATGAATGAGGCGGGTTTTCTAGAGTGGCCGTTAGGAACACTGGCGGGTCTGGTGGTCCTCCCTTGAAGATTTCCTGTCCCCTCTTGGGTGGTGCCCATGTCTGTATAAGCAGGTGGGAGTTGTTCCTATCTCTAGAAGTGCGGTCCGGGTAGCCAGAGAGAAGCTGCACACATCCTGCCTTCCCTGAATTTGTCCTTGACCAACTGGCAGTGAGCTGGAGGGGGTGGGGGTGACCGAGGGCAGGCTAATGAAAGAGAGGGGCCTGCAGGCTCCAGGACACCAGGGGCACACGGCAGGGGAGCTCCCGTTTGATGTTGTTTTCAGGTGTTCAGGCAGGGCCAGGGAACTAATACCTCTCTCTTTGGATGCAGGAATCCCCCGGCCCCCTCACCCATCTGAGCTGTCTCCATACTACCCACTTTCTCCCGGAGCTGTCGGACAAATCCCCCATCCGCTCGGCTGGCTTGTCCCACAGTAAGGACACCTTTGACTGTTCTTACCTTCCTTCCTCCTGTAGGTTCAGCTCTGCCTTCTGTGCCTCCAGGCTGCCCCGGGCTCTGTGTGCAGGCCCCACCCCGCGCACAGCCACCCACCAGACCCCGCTGCTCTCCGCCTGCAACTTCCTTCCCGCTCGTCCTTCTCCCTGCCCTCTCACCTTCTCCCCCAAACCCTCTCCTCTGTCCTGACCCTCCAGTTTTGGCCGGTATGCTAACAAGACTTCCTTGCTCCCGCTCCCTACAGGCAAGGCCAGCCCATGTACTCCCTCCCTCCCGGTGGCTTCCGGCACCCCTACCCCGCCCTCGCCATGAACGCCTCCATGTCCAGGTGGGTCCTGGCACGGGGGCGGTGAGCACCCAGCGGCAGTGCAGGGTGCGGTTTCTGCTAGTCTCTTCCCTTTTCTCATCACGAACCGGCCGGGGCTCACCTTTCCTCCCACCTGTCCTGGCCAAGGCGCCTCCGCACGCCCCAGGCGCAGAGTGGAGACACAGGTTCATTGTTTTCTCATTTCACTGAGAGAAGAATTTCCAAGTGCTGGCACTCCACCTTCTGCCACTTCACGTACCCCCTACCCTCACATACTAGACTTCACGACACTGAGGCATTTGGTATCCTTCGCACTCAAGCCAGAAAATGGGAGTTAAGTTTTCCTGCACTGAGGTCATGAGAGAGGACAGTCTCGGGGCCCAGCTCCACCCAGCAGGTACAGCGGTACCTCCACTCACAAAGGAAGGGCAGCCACAGCATCAGCCCTCTTTTCCATCCTCATGCCGCTGCCCCTAGCACACCACCCTACTTTTGTGTTTTTCCATCCCACCACTTCCAGCGTAAGATGGAGGAGCCTGTGTGTTTGTTGGGGAACGGGAGATTGGTGAGGGGCTCTTAAACCTGGTTCCATCGCCTGGGCCAGCAACCATCCCCCTGCTGGGTGACAGGCACTCAGCTGACTTGCTCTGTTGTCTGTTTCCACCCGGCACCTAGCCTGGTTTCCAGTCGGTTCTCCCCTCACATGGTGGCTCCAGCCCATCCTGGTCTACCCACCTCAGGGATCCCCCACCCCGCCATCGTGTCGCCGATTGTCAAGCAGGAGCCTGCACCCCCCAGCCTGAGCCCGGCTGTGAGCGCGTGAGTAACGGGCAGCCTGGGCTTGGGGAGCAGGGGCGTCTCCCAGAGGCATGTCACAGGTAGCCCCACAGCTTCCTCATCACGTCCTCTGGGAATTGTTCCCGTTGACTCTTCTCATCCTCTCAAAATCCCACACATCTTTTCTCATGTTAAAGTTTTATAATCAGGATTTGGAGACTAAAGGGAAAACCACGAAAGCGTTCTGTTTCCTCTGCCCCCTCCTCCCAATACACATGGGGAAATAGGAGATTGAGAAAGGAGAATTTTCTCTGGGTCTTGTGGCATTCATGGGGTGGGGGGTGGGGAGTGCAGAGCTGAGGGGTAGCACCAAGGTGTGTGTTCTGCGTTCTGACCACTAGGCCACAGCCTGCAGGAAAGCCAAATCAACGCACATGGCCGAGGGGACTCCCCACCAGTTCCCCTGGTGTTTCTGCCGACAGTGCCCTGCCCCCTTCCTCTTATCACCTTATACCTGGGGCCTGTGCACCCAGTTCCCGCCACCACCCCTACTCCTCTGTCAGGAAGTTATCCTGCCACTGAAGATGACCTGTATACCTGAGAGGTTAGGAACCACCTGTGGAAGATGTTCAGTTGCTAAAAAGCCTCCTGGGGCAGCTTCCCAGCCGCTCCGTTCCTCGCCCCTCCTCAGAGTCATCAGTCAGCCCTTAGTCTCTGTGGCAGGCAGGTGTGGTAGTGGGGTGACAGCTGACACATGCTAACCTGCAGCCATGTGGCTTCCAGGAAATCACCGGTCACAGTGAAAAAGGAAGAAGAAAAGAAACCCCACGTGAAGAAGCCTCTTAACGCCTTCATGTTGTATATGAAGGAGATGAGAGCCAAGGTGGTGGCTGAGTGCACCCTGAAGGAAAGTGCGGCCATTAACCAAATCCTGGGAAGAAAGGTAAGCTCTGCCCTTAGCCTGTGGGCCTTGCGGGCAGCGTGCCTGCATTCACGGCTCTGACCCTCTTCCCCTGCAGTGGCACAACCTGTCCCGAGAAGAACAGGCCAAGTATTACGAACTGGCCCGCAAGGAGCGACAGCTTCATTCCCAGCTCTACCCGACCTGGTCAGCCCGGGACAACTATGTAAGTGCCCTCTCGGCCCTGGGGCAGCCTCTGTAGGAGGAAGAAGGAAGGTAGCCGCATGTACAGAGGACTCTTCAGGCAGCAAGAAGTCTACAATATAAGTCTCCCTCTAAGAAGGAAGGCGTTTTAATTCTCAGGTCAACAAGGAAATGGCATCAGTGTCCTGAGGACAGACTTCTGAAGTGTGTGCCCCTCCCTTCTAAACTGGGCTCGGCCTTTGAGTCCATAATTCAGGGTGCAGGATGAGTCCTGTACTGGCTGTGGTGATAAGAGTGTCTGTAGCCACGGTGGCCTAACCCGGGGCACAGAGAACAAAGCATGAGTCTCAAGGCACACGCCAGTAACTGAGAATGGGCAGGGTTGAGTATGTGTTTTTTTAGTAAGAGGATTCATAGCTGCATTAGATTCTTAGTGGGGAAAAAAAAAATCAAGAATCACCGTTCTAGGGAGACAAATGAAAAGGAAATCTAGAAAACAGGGAAAGGACAAGGCCATTCCCAGCAGACCCAGCACACTCCAGTTGAGCAAAAGTTGGTGGTGGGTACAGGAAGCTCCGTGAGTGGGCAAAGCCCCTGAGTGCTTCCCTTCTCCTGCCGTCCTCCCCTGAGAGGGCTAAGGAATGTGGGTGATAGCCTGTCTCCCACCTTCTCATCTAGGAGTCCCCCTGAAAAGCCAGGTATTCTGGCCCTGCTTACCACTTCCTTTGACCGTATTTTTTCAGGGTAAGAAAAAGAAGAGGAAGAGAGAAAAGCAGCTGTCACAGACACAGTCCCAGCAGCAAGTTCAAGAGGCAGAGGGTGAGTCTGAAGGAAGACCAAGCCTCTCTGCTGCTCCTTCCCTCTGTCACGTCGTCCCTGGGTTTCTGTGGCCAGTGGCCATTATAATTGCTGCCATTGTTAGGGCCACAGGCTCATGGGAGCTTCATGTAGTCTCAGATGGATGTTACTATTGCCCCTTTGTAGGGATAATCAATTAAGAGGCTCAGAGAAGTAAAAGGATTGTCCTTGGTAGAGGCAGGATTTGCTTCCAGCATTTTCTGACTTCAAAGCCTAGGTGTGTTTGAGTCAGTTGCACTGTGAATCATTGGAGGGTAGGTTCGAAATCAATACATAAGGTAAAAGCTGAATTTCGTTGAGATTATCTTTGAAATTCTTTTAGGTAGGTGGTATTAGAGATTCAGTGAACTCAGTGAATCCGGTAGAATTGTTTCCTCCAGTTTTGTTCGGTTGAACACCAAAAGAAACAGTTCGCACGGTTTTGGCATTTTGTGCCAAAATGCGGGCTGTATATTTTTACACCAGAATCATACTTAGCACAAAGAGGCTGGCAGGGGGTGGGGAGCCGGGGGGCGTACACCCTCATGCTCTCTTAGGACAAGTGTGGAGCTGCTGATACCATCAAAGCTCTCCTCTCGTTCTTTGTATCATTTGTATATTCATTTGCCTATAAACACTTGAGTAAAATATGTATAAAATGTGTATATGGTACAAAATCTGTACCACCCAGCTTAGGTGCTGCATTCTCTCTGATAGTAACAAACCCCAAATTTTAAAACAAATAGAGAACCAGCCCATGAAGGATAAGATCTAGGCAGGGAAGAGGGGGTGCCTTAGACAGCATTGTTTCCCTCCGGTCAGACCCCCACTGCGTCTGGACGGTGCCTTCTCGCCTCAGAACGCAGGCCTCTAGTCTCAAAAGCCTCAGAAGCCATTTCAGCCCTCACTTCCCTCCCTGGTGTTTCTAGAGGGCGTGTATAACCGGGGCTCCTTTGCAGCCTCTGCCTCACCCAGAGCCGCTGGCTGCTCACCCTGTCTCGTGTTTCCCCACCAGGTACTCTGGCCTCCAAAAGCAAGAAGCCATGTGTTCAGTACCTGCCTCCAGAGAAGCCCTGTGACAGCCCTGCGTCCTCCCACGGCAGCATGCTGGACTCCCCTGCCACCCCCTCCGCGGCCCTGGCCTCGCCAGCCGCTCCTGCTGCAACCCACTCAGAGCAAGCCCAGCCTCTCTCCCTCACCACCAAGCCGGAGACCCGGGCCCAGCTGGCTCTCCACTCAGCTGCCTTCCTGTCGGCTAAGGCCGCGGCCACCTCCTCTGGCCAGTTGGGCAGCCAGCCGCCCCTCCTCTCCCGACCCCTCCCCATCGGGTCCGTGCCCACAGCTCTGCTGACTTCTCCTCCTGCCTTCCCAGCCACACTCCATGCCCACCAGACCCTGCCAGTCCTCCAGGCCCAGCCTCTTTCCCTGGTCACCAAGTCTGCCCACTAAGCTGCCCCCTGACCTACGCAGGCTGTCGAGTGACTCATCGAGTAGTAATGATTCAGAAGAAAAAAAAGGAAACTTTATTGGTCAATATTTGACCACTCTGGACTGTTCTGTAAAGTGACTGGTAACAGCAGCATTTTACATTTTGTAGATGTAACCAGTAGCTGATCTTAAGGCTTTTTTTAAAAAACAAAACAAAACAAACAAAAAAATTCTTTAAAAGAAAGAGAACTGAACAGTAGTGTGTTGTTCTCCCCTGCCTGCTGTCGTGGATGGACCTGGGCAGAAGACACCCTTCTCTCTACCTCTCGCTCTCCAGCACCCCGTCACCATGCGCACCACCCCCACCAGTCTGCATGCTGGCCACTGCGGCCATTCCTCTGTTCTTCTGCTAGATCCCTCTCCGGGACGTGTACTTTTCTCTCACCCACGTTTTTCTCCTTTCCTCAATTCCGTCGGTTCTTCGCCTTCTTGGTCCTCTGCCCAGGATAAGGCTGTACCACGTGAAAAGCCAACTCTGCCTGATTTGCCTCCACCAGCATCCCCTGCCCCTCCGTGAGCCCTAACCCACCAGCCTCCAGCTCCCAGCAGGGATCGAGGGCCTCTGGAACGGTTCTTCCCACATTTGAAGGGACTCAAGGTGTGTGCCTGTCACTTCCTCCTCGAAGAAGTCTGTGTTCCACCCCCTTACCAGTCGAGATTTGATCGTCCCCTGAAGGTCCCAGCGTGGCAGATGGGACCTGGCTCCCAGGCCTGGCTCCTGTGCCCTGGGTGAGTGCTAGCACAATCTGCCAAAGTTCTAAAGACCCTCCTCCCCACCACCTCACATGCTTCTGTGTGTATTTCTTTTTGTTTTTATGGGTTTTTTTGGAGCAATTTAAACTCCCAGTTGTTTATTTTCACAAAAGAAAATAAAATTGCAGTTGCAAGACCTTTTCTGATTGTTTCAGTCCTTTTGTTGATTCAAGTCCCCTTCGTCATGCCAAGCCCTGTACTAGATTTCTGTGGAGAGACGGAAAATGATCACTATTGGAGGAGAGTATAATACACGCCTGACACAGTTAGAAAATCCCATCCAGCGTCCAGACTCGAATGTACATAGACCAGCCACTCTTGATAACTGAGATCCAAGGGAAGGAGTCTTTTCATTTTCAATTTTTTTTTTATAATTGCCAAGATTTGTATAATCATGGCATCCTTTGTTTACTTTGCATGGTATCTAACAATGCAATTTTTTTTTTGTTATAACTTTGAGATGTAATTCAGATAACATCCAATTCATCCACTTAAAGTAATATAATTCTGTGGTTTTTAGCATGTTTAGAGTTGATTATCACTGTACTCAATTTTATTTTTTTTAATTTTTAAAGATTAGGATACAAGCCAGAGGTGCAGGGGGTGAGAGGCTTCACCAGAGACAGAGTGGGGAGCAGAACAAGCAGATTGACTGAAATACACTGCTGAGGGGAGCAGCGGGCAGGTCAGGTCTGCCACACCATGTGGGTCACCTCCCTGGCTGGGTATCAAAGTCGTACTGCAGAGACTGTAGATAGCTTCATAGTGCTGAGCTTTAACCCACTGTGCCGTCAGGGAGGGCCCTCTAGCATAATATTTTCAAGATTCATCCATACAGCAGCATGTATCAGAATTTCATTTCTTATGGGTGAAGGATACTCCTCTGTGTGTATAAATCCATTTGTGTTTACCCATTCCTCTGCTGGGCTATTGGGCTACTGTGAATAACACTGCTATCAGTAGTGGCATAATTAGTACAATGTTTGAGTCCCTGTTTTCAATTCTTTGAGGTACCTATGGAGGAGTGGAATTGGGTCACATGGTAAATCTATGTTTAACTTTTTGAAGAATTGCCAAATTTCTTCCTTAGCATCTGTAAGAGATTGTATTTGTACCAATAACAGCTAAGGGTTCCAATATGTCCTCATCTTCACCAACACATTATTCTGGGTTTTGCATAATAGTCACCCACATAGATACGACTTTAATTTTGATTTACCTAATACCAGTGATGTTGAATGTGTCTACATATACTTATTAGCCAGTTGACTCAACACCATTTATTAAAAAGAATATTTTTTCTCCTGTTGAAGTGTCCTGACACCTTTCAAAAACCTACTGACCAGGCTCATCGTTGGATTTTCAATTCTATTCCATGCATCTCTATGTCATTATAGCAGTTTTACACTCTCCCAAGTATTGTAGCTTTGTAGCAAGTTTAAACTGGAAAGTGTAAATCCTCAACTTTGTTTTTTTCAAGACTACTTTTGGCTACTCCTGGTCTCACATTTTTGTCAATATCTGCAGAGGCCAGGTGGGATTTTAATAGAGATTGTGTTGTTAGATTAATATGGGGTGCATAGCCACCTCAACTAAATCAAGTCTTCCAATCCATGAGTATGGGATATCTTTATATTTATTTAGGCCTTTAACTTCTTTAATATTTTATAGTTTACAGAGTATACATGTTGCATTTCTTTTGCTAAATTTACTCCAGAGTATACATGTTGAATTTCTTTTGCTACATTTACTCCAAGGATTTTATTCTTTTTGCTGTTACTAAAGGGATTGCTTCTTAATTGTCCTTGTAAATGTGTAGACATGTAAAATTGATTTTTGTACTTGATCTCATATCCAACAATCTTGCCTTAGGATTTTCTATATACAAGATCATATCATCTGAAAAGTAGACATGGTTTTATTTTGTCTCTACTATCTGAGTGCCCTTTATTCTCTTTCTTGCCTAATCATCTTGGCTAATTCCAGTACAAAGTTGAATAGAAGTGGTGAGAGCAAATATCATGATACCTGGGAAAACATCCAGATGTCTTTTTCTATTAAGTATAATGTCAGCTGTGATGTTTCTGTATTTTCAGGCTGAGGAAGTTCTCTTCTTTACTGAGTCGCTTTTTTTAATCATAAAAGGATACAAAGATATTTTAAGGTTTATTAGTTACCTCCTATCATTTCTTTAAACCAAAATTGATGTGAATTAGGAGTAATTCTAACATCTCCCTTCTCTATTAACCCCGGTAGAAGCACTGCCTGAGAAAACCCACAACTGAAATATGTGCCATAAGAGATAAGTGGTGCCTAAGCTCAGCCAGGCCTTCAGCACAGCTTACCTGCTACTCAAGTGTTAATACATGGGTCCTTCATCAGCTGTCTTCTAATTCCTTCAAACATGTACTTCGACATTCAAATTCCTTAATTTAATTCCCCACCTCCCTTTCAAAGTTGAGGTGAGATGAAATCTCTATCTTGATGTTCCACATCCTTGCCTAAATAATTGCCTTTCATAGGGTTCAAAGTCAAGCTGATTAAACCCAAGATCAACTGCTCTACTGCCATATAAGACCTCAACCCCTCTCCCCTTGGTACTTTGCTCTGTCGGTCATTGAATCAATCTGATAAGCTTGGTCATGCTCTCTAATGATTTTTCCCCTCAATAAAAACACTAGATCCTCTCCCATATTAGAAGCATCCTGTTTCACATCAAAACTTACAGAAAAGGTAGTTTCTACTTACCTTCCATTCACTACTTAAGCTCACTGCAACCAAGTTTTGCTCTCACCATTCTGCTGTATTTGATCCTATGGGCCTGACATTTTTCTTTTAGAAACACTCAGTTCTCTGACAATTGGGAGCCCCCCCGCAAAGAATGTTCTTTAAAGAAACAGTGGAAAACAAAATGTCTCCCAGAGGAGACTCCAGTTGACTTGCCTAGTTGTAGTTCTAAATATTACAAAGACACCTGCAAAACTAAACATTAGGTATGGTTTTGTATCTTGCTTCATTTTCAGTCAATCTATCATATGCGCATACATGCCTATAAAAAAAGCCAATAAAATATGCATAATAATTCTGGATCACAAGCTTTATTTTCTTATTTTGGCTAAATCTTTATATTTATTTTGTCTATAACCAACATTTACTCCAATGATAAATTTTGAAAGCCGTAGTCCATATGCTATGCACTGTATTAAGTACTCTTATCTATTTCTCAAACCTTTCATTCCCATTTTATAATTAAGAATTGATAGTTAAAGCAATTTGGGGGTTCAAACCATTTTATTAAGGGCCTGTGGAGATCCCAAGTCCCATAGTTCAGACAGGTTGGGATCTCTCCAGCTTTACAGACACAGGAAACTACTTAAATCAATTTAGCAACCTGCCCTCGGTCATGTGAATTATTTGTGTACTAAGTATTAAAGAATAATTAAGGACTTTTTCTTCTAATTGGGAGATTAAGATTACTCACTGTTATCAAAGGTTGGGTTAAGAAAATATCTGGAATTTAAGCAAATTGCTTAATCTTTCTGATCTTTATTTACCTCTATAAATGTACCTAGTCAGTACCCAAATAAATAGCAGTTACCAGGAGTAGAAAACTAAAACTAATGCAGATATCCAATAACAAGGGAATTATAATTAAAAAAAACAACCTTATGAGCAATTCGTAAAATACTTTAAATGATTAACCAGCATGCTCCTTAGACATACTTAAATTTGCTAGGAAATAGTATTTTTATTGTTTAGTTCCATACTCACATTTTCAGTAACTCCCCTAACATTTCCACTTTACTGTCATCTAAAACACAAGACCAGAAAGAAGCAAATTTCTTTTCTATGCCTCACCTCAATCTGGTTGTCCTCACACCTTCCTCCCATGGGCAACTCTGAGATGATTTACTTTGTAATCTCCCTCTGCTACAGCCTCAACCCCGTCATTCTTGTTATTTGTTACCTCAACATCCTATATTTAGTCTTTAGATTTACACAAAATACTAGTTTTCCACCTGCTTCCAGGTCTTAACACAGGCTACATGGTCACCCAGGAAACTTGATCTCTTTCTTCCATCAAACTCCACTGAGAAATGCCTACACTCTTCCACCTTCAGCATAGAGGTCCCTTCTTCAACAGAGCTCATAGTTTCTGAATTTTATTTCTTTGCATTTCTTGGAAATGCCACACACATGCACACAATCGTGTAAATATTTGACTGTGTGCATCACTAGATTACATGTTCTATTACATTTGTAACTATCACTTCTTAATCACAGTCTATAAAGCACCTAATAGGGCAAATGATCATAAAACGATCTCAAGCAATAATTAACAGTAATTTTAAGTAGTAGGATGCGAAACTATTTACTCAACATTTTCGACTCAGGAGCAAATGAATATGCTTTAAAAAACATCCATTAAGAAGGGGGAAATAAGACATTGTATTTATTTAACAAACAAAAAGAAAACATCAGGTAGAAGTACAGTGGTAACCTGTGGAGGGGTAGGGGGGAAGAACGTTCTAACCTGTGCCTTTTCTTGAAACCCTTTTCTATTTTTGAACCATTAGAACGTATTACCCAATCAAAAATGTTTGCAAAACATACACCTTGTAGAGACTGTCCCTAAAGAGTGGAACAAAGATTTTGTTTTTAACTTGTACACTTTAAGTTCTCAAAGTAACTAGGAGTCATTTTTTATGATCAAACAAAAGCATATACTTTTTAGAACAGATCTTTGGCGACCTTGGAGAGCAGTTTCCGCCAAGTCCGGAGAGAAGGGAGCCGAGATGGGAAGCCGCCCGTTACTAAGATGATAGGTTCTGTTTCCAGAAGGAAAGCCCGACCCCAACACATTTGTATGCTGCGAGGAAATAACCACGAGAAAGGGAGAAGGTAAACATGCGAGCAGAGGATGGGCGGAAGAGGCGACCGGGCCAGCCACGTCACTCTCTGGTACCGTCTGCGTGTCAGGGTGCTCATGCCCCGCCTCTACGGTATGGAAAAGGGGAAAGTAGAACGGGTGATGACAGCCTGTTGCGCCCACGGTGGAGCAAAGAAACCAGGAAAAGGTAGGCACGCCTTCCACAGCGCGGAGCTGTCATTCACAAAGGCCGCCCAACCGGAGCTGCCCGTGGCCCCGCACGTGGGCGGGTCTTCTCCAAGCCCCGCCCCTTCCGGACGGAGCCGCTCCGGAGCGGACGCGCGCAGAAAGGGGTGAGGCGGAGATCGCTGAGCCCACGAGCACATTTCGCGAGAGTTGCAGAAGGCGGAAGCGCAGTCTGTGCAGGATGCGGTTCCTGGCTGCGTTGGTCCTGCTGAGCCTCGGAGCTGCGGGTAAAACCCCCTCCCCAGACCCACGACGCCCCACAGTAATCCCATTCTCTCACCCAGATCCCCCGCCCTCACCGTGGCTGTTTGCCACCTGAGTTCGCTTCTTCCCTGCCTTACACCCCGCCGTTCGCCGTCGCCCACGCCCCCATTTGCCCGTTTCGGTTTGTGCTGGCTGTGAGGGTTTCCTTGTAGCCTGCATCTCTCCAGAGCCAACTGGTTTCTCCATTTCAGGAGTCTTGAGCCGTGACAGTGCGAACTCCATTATCAATTCGACTAAAGTTGAGCCTTCAGTTAGAAATTCCAAGCAGTCTACTTCGAACCTGCCGTCTAAGAAAGGATCCTCCCTTTCTTCAGTGAACGGAGACTCTGGCAGGTTAGATGAGGATCGCCAATCTGGAAATAACATTGGTGCGTTGGATCAGCAGCAGCAGCTGACCGCGGATCATAACCCTAACAATTCCACTGAGAACCTGCAGCAGACAGCCCAGCGCAACCCTGACAATTCCACTGAGAACCTGCAGCAGACAGCCCAGCACCACCCTGACAATTCCACTAAAAATTCGAAGCAGACCACCCAGCACAGCCCTGACGATTCCGCTGAGAAACCACAGCAGACAGCCCAGAACAGCCCTGACAATTCCACTAACAACTCGCAGCAGAAAACCCAGCAAAACCTTGACAATTCCACTGAGAACCAGCAGCAGACAGAGGAACACAACCCTGTCAATTCCACTAAAGACCAGCAGCAGACAGCCCAGCACAACCCTGTCAATTCCACTAAAGACCAGCAGCAGACAGCCCAGCACAA